GGGGGGCGGCCGCCGGGGCAGGCTCAGCCCGAGCGGCGGGGCATGCCGCGCCGAGGCGGCGGCAGCGGCCGGACGGCGTGGAGCACGGGCGCGGGGCGAGCCCCTGGTCGCTCCGCTGCTCTCTCACAGCTCCTGGTGTCGCCGCTCTCCAGAGCCCGCGTCAGCGCCCAGCCCGCCTCAGCTCCGCCGCCGCCGTCGCTGCTGCTGCTGCCGCCGCGGCCGCTCCACTTCTACAGACTTGATTCTTCGACAGCCTCGCACGGCGCCTGCGCGGGCCCCCTCCCCTCGCGCGCGCGCCCGCCCTCCCCCGCGCTCGCGCCCTTCCCCTCCCCCCTGCGCGCTGAGAGGGAACGAGCGCTGCCGGGAGAGCCGGCTCCGCGGCGCCCGCCCGCGGGGCAGCGCCGCCTGTCCGCGCTGCGACCGGTGTCCCTCATGTGAAGGCGGTGGAAGCGTGGTTTGCTTCCCTCCAGCCGCTCGGCTGCCTCCACTACTCGGTCACCATTCCTCCCCTCCAGAACGTTTGAGACAAATCGTGCTAATGCTCGTGTTTTTAAAAGCAAGGCCACTTTGTGACTTGGTTCTGTCAGTCTCTTGAGGATGGGGATTTTAAATCTAGCGTGGTTCACAGTTTTGTTTTTTTAAGGAGTTACATTTGAGCTCCACTAAGTGCTTTCACACTCGCATTTGCCTGGGAAGAACAGACGCGCCGGCGGTGCCCTTAAGTTTTACTAACAGAGGAGTCTGTTCCCAAGCCAGGGACCGCGTCCACACGCCGTTCGGCGGAACCCTCCCGGAGGGGAGCTGGAGCGCCGTACCCCTCGCAAACGCCGAGACTCCCTCTCAGCCCCGCCCTCCCCTCCTCCCCAGCACCCGCCCGCCCACCCACCCTCCCTCCCTCCCTCCCGAGCGGGAGGTCCTCGCGGCACCGGCGGACCCAGCCGCCTTATGTAGGACCGCGCGGCGGGCGCGTGACGTGGGCGCAGAGCCGCGGGCCCGCGTGCGCCGCCGCCGCCGCCGCCGAGTGCGCACGCTCCGCGCGGACGTGACTCGGCGCCGCTGGCACTGGCGGCCTCATTGAACGAATGCACATTCCAGGGATCCGGGGTCTACGGCCAGCGCGGTCGCGTCACCGCGCAGGCCCCGCCCCCTCCGGCGACAGTGGGCCTCTAGGCCCCGCCCCCTGGCCCAACCTTGGACTGGAGGTGGCGCGGGGCGCGAGCGCAGGGGTCCGCGCAGGCCGTGGGGGGTGCCTGGCTGGCCGGCCCGCGGACCCCGCAGGCAGCTGTTGCGCGGGGCCGGGCCATCGGCGGAAATCCCCGGCGCCGTAGTGAGGCGGGACCGACGGCGCGGCCCAGGCCGGGGTAGCCCCTGGTGTGTGCAAACCCGCCTGGAGCGAAGGCGGGGTGCGGCCGCAGAGCCTGCTCGGCCCGCCGCGCTCTGCCACTGTTGGCAGCCACAGACTGTGCGCAGACTGAAGTGAGCACTCGAGTTTCACACTTTTATCGGGAGGAGGAGCTGGTGTGTGTTATGGTAAATCACTTTTGGCTGGTCGTTAGTCTTACTGACTAATAGACGCGGGCTTAGTCACTCTCAGTTGGGACTTAGACACTTCAAGTCTGTAAGGGCGGCCCTTTGGAGCTTCTTTTGTTGGAAAACAGGCCCACATCGCTCCCTGAGACTGGAATGGGCTGGTTAAGTGTGGGAAGAACAGGGTACTAATTATATTATCTTTCCTACAACTGGATTGGTAGGTGGAGAGAGAAAAAATCCTGCTGACGTTTCTCTCTAGTTGTTGCTATTGAAAATGCCAGGTTGCTTCAAAGGATTAACCACAAGGAAGAGGAAAAACACCCTTAGCGATACAGTGGAGGGAGCTGCCTAAAGCACATGAAGAAACCTGTTCGAAAGTGGCACAGAAAACGTAATGCCAGACCTAAATGTTTTTACAGGCCAGCCCTGCATGTCTTCTCTTGGGGATTTCCAGAGAAGGTGTGCTTGCCATAAAGGTCTCCCCATCTGTTCCGGGATCTGGCTTGCAATTGCAATCCTGCCTCACTCTCTTCTAGCTGGGAGAATTGGGCCTGCCCAGATCCTTCCCTGGAGCAGCTGGTGCCAGTGGGCTTGGTCACTCCTGGTACCTGCTGTCTGGAACCTCTTTCAGGACCTGCTCCTCTGGTCACTCTCCATGGAGACCCTGTGCCACTCCTTGTAGCAGGTGACTTCTCTCCCCGGGCCACTGCCCAAAGTGGACGAGGTCCAGTCTGTGTGCTGCAGAGAGACTAGCCATCTGAACACCCCCAAGAGATGGCCCCCACTAGGCAGTGACTGGAACATTAAAAACAACTACAACAACAACAGCAACCCTGTGTTAGAGCCCTGGCCTAATTATACTCATTTACCTGCAAGCTGGTACTGTAATACCCTGAAGGAAAGCCTGCCGTTTCATCCCAAAATAGAAATAGTGAGCTACAAATTCTGCCTTGAGAGGGACTAAGTAAGGATTTTTGTAGAACGGAGCTTTTCTTCTCCAAATGAAGGACATTTCCTTTTTATTTTACACTCGGAGTTTAATGTCGAAACCGAGTTGTTGTAACTTCCCTAATGAAATGCCTGCTGGAGAATGGAAAGGCTATTTGAGTTTTGGTCTCTCTTGCCATAAAAGCCTCCGGGATCAAGGGGGTTAAGGCTGGCCCTGGATCCGGGGCAGCAATTCCTTATATTGTATCAAAAGTCTTTCATGCTGCCTGGCCTTTCATGTAGCTCTGAAGCAGCTTTATCGATCTATGCTAAGTAAACATAGCTTTGTTTTTGTCTTCCACCCTCCGCCCTCCCTCCCGGCACAGACTGGAGTTGGATCTCTTCCAAAGCGGCTGCTGCAGCAGCTACACCCGCCTCCTCCACACACAGAAGCAGGGTTTCTAGGGTGAGGCAATGCGTCTGCAATTCGCAGAGACAAGGCAGGAATTGTAATTGTAGTTCATCATGTGATGACTTATGAAAGAGGAAGTTGGTATGTTTTAGTCACGTAGACTCTGCCCTCTTGCTTAAGGCTGCAGGTCCTTTCAGAAAAGCATTATGATAATCTTTGCCGTTCAGAGTCAAGGTTACCAGGTTGGCTGCAGGGTGCTCCTACACATTCATATGTGGACAGGCAGGTGGATGCTGCACGAAGGGTTGGTGGGACAGTGGGTTGAGGCTGGCTTTTAACCAGCACGCTGAAATGCTGCAATTTGTCTTAAGAACTAAAGGAAATGTTCTATGGGGAACACTTCTGCTGAGATTAGATTAGTCCTTTCCTGCTCTAATTTCTAAGATTTATTTTTTAAATAAAAATCATGGTTAAGGAGCAAAAGGAAAACTGTTCTGTATGATACCATCAAAAGGCAGGAATAAGGGAAGTGATCGGATGTTAAGCCAAAGGGAGCAGTTCTAAGAAATAGCTCAATGGGTGGAAGAAATCTGCCCTCCCCACACTGCGATTTACATGGCCTTCTACCACGTGAGCATTAAACATCTAAAATCTGAATCTGGTCCCCGGAGCTTACTCCAGTGGAGATGCTCTTGTTAACATACCACAGCCCTGTACTGACAGTCCACAGGGCAGTGTAAAAAAAAAAAAAAAAAGTTGTTCCTTCCAGAGGACCCTGAGGGAACTCTGCCCTGAGGACAAACAGCCGGGGGAGGGTTGCAACGTGTGTGCTGTCCACGAGGTGGTATTCCTAGAGACTGCTGAGTTCATGCACTTCACCCTATATTCACATGTGGAATCACAGCCTTCATTCTTTAGAGTGCAGTTTCTATTAATAGCATGATGTTGCAACCATACTAGAGCTTCTTAAACTCTGACCCTGGCATATTTGGAGGAGGAAAAAAAAAAAAAAAAGGCAGCCGCGTGTCATTGGGATTTCTGTGGATAACAACCTCAGCTCCTTGTACTTGGGCAAAACGGCCATAAGATTAGAAGAGTGCATGTGCTACTCAGGGCTTTTCTACTTAAAAAAAAAATTATAAATATGTACTTGAACAGATCTGTTTATATGAATACATCTATACATGCTATGGAGAGTCATGACACAAATGAACCTTCTGTAGTAGATAGGAGAGCCTTTCTTCTAAGTAATAGTA